TTTAGCGGTTTTTGGCCAAACTGTCTCTCTCATGAGCGCAGAAAAATAGCATTCAGGAGAGGAAAGTTTAACGGCCCCTAAACTCTGCTGCTCCTAAACTCTGGTAAAAGCCTATGTGTTCAGGGGCTTTGCCAAAAAAACGCCAACAGCTCCTAAACTCAAGTTTAGGAGCAGCAGTGTACATGAGGCCTAAGCCGTGTGTGGAGGTAATTCTGGCCTTTCAAATGGCCATCTACATGTGAACTTTGTATGTACAGAAGAGAGTGGAACTACCTTGTATCTGAGCACCACAAATCAAAAAAAGCCAAAAAAAAAAAGGGATAAACTTGCCGGTTTTCTGAGACCAATAGACTACAAGTTTTGGGGCACACCCCTTTGTCAGGTCAGGATGAGATGTGATTGGTGGGCATATCCTCAATGCATGCCCACTCCAGTGGAGTCCGTGAGAACGCTGCCGACAGTACATTGATGTCACTTCCAGTTTCCCGATGACGTCACCTGGCTTCTCAATCTGCGTAACCATTGTAGCCAGTGAGCTGACTTCTGGGCATCTGCACTGTCTGCACCTAAACCCTGCTGAACTGTATCCTTTGCATGCACAACCTCCTGTATCCCTTCAGCTTGACCAAGGAGTGCTCTAGTATGGTCATCCCACAGCGCATGCTCAGGAAACGCATCGCAATGATGACTGGAGATGTCATCGTGCACAAGCTGCGCTCCACTGTGCGTTCCAACACTCGGTACCAGGCTCTCTCCATCTTGCCGGCTTGTCGCCTGATACTGACAGATGACTGATCATCATCTACTACTGCAAACTATACTGTTCACTGTGGAGGACTCCCATTGATGGAATATTGATGTGCCTATTTTTATCTAAGATATATTAAATCTAATCCTCCTGCGCTATATGGAGTGCCTGAAAATATATATAAGCCGCTCACACCCTAAACTGATACCTAATACAGTGAATAAAACTAGACAAATAATATAGTGCAGCGCTACTGTGTTATTACCCCTACACCAATTCATAAATGTTCAAATAAAATATTCAACTATATATTCAACACACGTGCTAACAATGAATTTAAATGCAGTGCCACAATATGCCCCCAATACCGTGTATAATAAGTGACCAACTGTCCCAGTATGAATTATAGGATCAATAACTTGATAATCCTACAGTAAGAATAAATATGAACAAACCCCCCATACAATTACACTGCAATGTGATCAGTGTACACACTAAAGTGACCACTTTAAAAGCACAGAAACAATAAGATATAGCTTTTCTTAAATAAAAAGTTCATAAATCTTCCAAATTTGTGCTCCACGCCAAAATAAATATCCTGAGGAAGTCACAAGGTACGGTGACGTAACGCGTAGATACGCCGTGACGCAGCTTCTGGTTCATGGTCACGCACATCCCGCGCGGCCGCCATCTTGAAACACCCAGATGAACCCTAACCCATGCAGTACACCCATGCATGCGGTTTGTGAGTTGTACTGAACGAATTATCGAATTGGGCACAAGAGAGTGGGCATTTTCTATTAATAAAGAGGCTGATTTAACAGTATAATACTACACTATGAAGGATCTTCTTTGTCACTCATGAACTATGGTGAGTGATATATTTAGTTGGTGATTGTCCTGAGAGGTCCTGGGGATTGATCCATCTGGATAAGGGGTCCACGAAAGGAGTACTGAGGATATACACCCCCATTGGAGAAGGATCTAGGAGAGATCTTGGAGGCTTGGTGGCCCTTTGGGTCACAGATTGAAGGTCAGCGGGCATTTTGGCCACAGGAGGAGTGTGTTGACACTATCACAAGGAAGCATCACTTTTGTATCACTCTGCATGAGTTTATTTTGGCGTGGAGCACGAATTTGGAAGATTTATGAACTTTTTATTTAAGAAAAGCTGTTGGGTCACTTATTATACACGGTATTGGGGGCATATTGTGGCACTGCATTTAAATTCATTGTTAGCACGTGTGTTGAATAAATAGTTCCCTTCTCTCTACTTCCCTGGTCTCCTCCTCCCATGCCCGCCTCCAGGACTTCTCCAGGGTGTCACCCATCCTCTGGAAATCCCTGCCCCAACCCATCAGATTATCACCTACTCTCCTCTCCTTTAGGCGCACCCTGAAAACCCATCTCTTCAGGGAAGCCTACCCCACCCCCTGCTAACTTGCTGACCTCCTCCACTCTTCCTACCACTCCATCCCCCACAGCTATCTCCTCCTGTGCCACCATCCCCTCCCTCCTAGATTGTAAGCTCGAAAGAGCAGGGCCCTCGATCCCCTCATGTTTTGCATTGTATTGGTTTTGTTCTGTCACATGTTCTGTCCCCCTTTGTAATGTACAGCGCTGAGCGAACTATTGGCGCTTTATAAATACTGTATAATAAATAATAATAATAGTTGAATATTTTATTTAAATATTTATGAATTGATGTAGGGGTAATAACACAGTAGCGCTGCACTATATTATTTGCCTATTTTTATCTACCCTCCTGTAAGTTGCTCTCTTTTATGTGCAATAAATAAGTTTCTAGTTCACACTTGGAGGTGCCTTTCCCCTTTTTTTCTCTTTACATGTATATGCAGTAAAGCATGCTTGTTATACTCACTGTGGAACCTAAGGGGTTAATCCTCTGCACTGTGTAAAAACGCTGTTTGATCCTGACTTCTCTGATCCTCCCCTTCTTCCAGTGCCCCCCACTTATCTACTGATAAGACACATTGTTTGGAGACACTTTGCACATGCTCAAATTGGTGTGTATTGCTAGAGAGGTTTTTTTTCTTTTCTTGGGAGAGTGCATGTGATCAGCACAGGGCCAATCAGCACTGTTTAGACAGAGGTCAGGGTTTCTGCATTCTCCGAGAGTAGAAAGAAAACTCCTCCTACAAGCTTTAACCAGTGCTCTGCAGGACACTGATAGAAGTTACAAGACTGCTATGTACTCCTGATGAGAAAAGGTATTTAGCAGTTTATATTTACCACAATAATTGCATTTCCATGTTCTGTGTACTGTGGGAGACCGGATATAGTGAAAGCAGGGTCCAGGGAGACCGGATATAGTGAATGCAGGGTCCGAGGAGACCGGATATAATGAATGCACGGTCCGGGGAGACCGGATATAGTGAATGCGGGGTCCTGGGAGACCAGATATAGTGAATGCGGGGTCCGGGGAGACCAGATATAGTGAATGCGGGGTCCGGGGAGACTGGATATAGTGAATGCAGGGTCCGGGGAGACCGGATCTAGTGAGTGCGGGGTCCGGGGAGACCGGATATAGTGAATGCAGGGTCCGGAGAGACCAGATATAGTGAATGCAGGGTCCGGGGAGACCGGATCTAGTGAGTGCGGGGTCCGGGGAGACCGGATATAGTGAATGCAGGGTCCGGAGAGACCAGATATAGTGAATGCAGGGTCCGGGGAGACCATATGTAGTGAATGCAGGGTCCGGGGAGACCAGATATAGTGAATGCAGGGTCCGGGGAGACCAGATATAGTGAATGCAGGGTCCGGGGAGACCAGATATAGTGAATGCAGGGTCAGGGAAGACCAGATATAGTGAATGCAGGGTCCGGGGAGACCGGATATAGTGAATGCAGGGTCCTGGGAGACCAGATATAGTGAATGCAGGGTCCGGGGAGACCGGATATAGTGAATGCAGGGTCCGGGGAGACCGGATCTAGTGAGTGCGGGGTCCGGGGAGACCAGATATAGTGAATGCAGGGTCCGGGGAGACCGGATATAGTGAATGCAGGGTCCGGGGAGACCGGATCTAGTGAGTGCGGGGTCCGGGGAGACCAGATATAGTGAATGCAGGGTCCGGAGAGACCAGATATAGTGAATGCAGGGTCCGGGGAGACCATATGTAGTGAATGCGGGGTCCGGGGAGACCAGATATAGTGAATGCAGGGTCCAGGGGAGACCAGATATAGTGAATGCAGGGTCCGGGGAGACCAGATATAGTGAATGCAGGGTCCGGGAGACCAGATATAGTGAATGCAGGGTCCGGGGAGACCGGATATAGTGAATGCAGGGTCCTGGGAGACCAGATATAGTGAATGCAGGGTCCTGGGAGACCAGGTGTCAGGGTCTGGGAGACCAGATATAGTGAATGCAGGGTCCAGGGTCCAGGGAGACCGGATATAATGAATGCAGGGTCCGGGGTTTAGCAACACTTTAAGTATATGAATTCTGGAGCCCCTGTCAGCCATTAATTGCTGTCCGTTTCCCTTATTTCCTTTATAGTAAAGGGGTTCTAATCCTTCCCTTGTCCATCCAAAACTGAAAAGAATTGGCTATGGTTACAGTTTGATGAATACACAGTTGCATTTATTTGTGTCTTTTATTCTGCCTGGGGTTCAGCTTTAAAGAAGAAACAAAGCAAGATTTGCATCTAATGGATAGCCAGCAACTCTGGAATCTATGGAACTCTACAGGAGCACAATGTAGCTTTCTAGTAACAGGAAAGGCCAGCACTTTCCATGTCCGATGACACCGACCCCGAGTACAGGACAGGCAGATAAAAGCCAGGCTTGTGACTGCCATGTGCTACAGACAAGTGTTTCTTCGGAAGTTCTAAAGCAGTGACAACATTGTACGCATTCCTCGCAGTTCACAAATGTCATCGGAGAGCCGTCACCACATGCGTGCCTGAACAAGGCCCAAGTCTGTGCTGCTGCGTTCCAGCATCATTAGTGACAGCAACACACTTTGAATGACAATTGTGCAGTCATGCAACAAATTTTTAGCATTTTGTTCACACGACTAGAGCTTCCTTTTGGTGGTATTTAATAAACACTGGGGTTTTTAATTTGTTGCTAAATTAACAAAAAAAGAGAGAAAATTTTGAAAAAAGTTTTTCTTTGTTTCTGTTAGAAAAAAAAGTGCAAATAAATAATTGTTCTTCATAAATTTAGGCCAAGATGTATTCTGCTACATGTCTTTGGTGAAAATAACCCAAATCAGTATTTATTATTTAGTCTGTAGGAAAGTTATAGAGTTCACAAACTATGGGATATATCTGAAAGTTGATCAATCCTGAAGTACTGATGGCCAATCTAATTTCTGGAGGCCCAAAAATGTCAGAACAGTACAGATATCCCCCAAATGTCAGGACAGTACAGATATCCCCCAAATGTCCGGACAGTACAGATATCCCCCCAAATGTCAGAACGTACAGATATCCCCCAAATGTCAGGACAGTACAGATATCCCCCCAAATGTCAGACACAGTACAGATATCCCCCAAATGTCAGAACGGTACAGATATCCCCCAAATGTCAGAACAGTACAGATATCCCCCAGATGTCAGAACAGTACAGATATCCCCCAAATGTCAGGACGGTACAGATATCCCCCAAATGTCAAATGTCAGGACGGTACAGATATCCCCCAAATGTCAGAACGGTACAGATATCCCCCAATGTCAGGACAGTACAGATATCCCCCAAATGTCAGGACAGTACAGATATCCCCCAAATGTCAGGACGGTACAGATATCCCCCAAATGTCAGGACGGTACAGATATCCCCAGGAAGTACAGATATCCCCCAAACGTCAGGACACAGATATCCCCCAAATGTCAGAATGGTACAGATATCCCCCAAATGTCAGGACGGTACAGATATCCCCCCAAATGTCAGGACGGTACAGATATCCCCCAGATGTCAGAACGGTACAGATATCCCCCAAATGTCAGGACAGTACAGATATCCCCCAAATGTCAGGACAGTACAGATATCCCCCAAATGTCCGGACAGTAAAGATATCCCCCAAATGTCAGAACGGTACAGATATCCCCCAGATGTCAGAACGGTACAGATATCCCCCAAATGTCAGGACAGTACAGATATCCCCCAAATGTCAGGACAGTACACATATCCCCCAAATGTCAAGACAGTACAGATATCCCCCAAATGTCAAGACAGTACACATATCCCCCCAAATGTCAGGACAGTACAGATATCCCCCCATATGTCAGGACAGTACAGATATCCCCCCATATGTCAGGACAGTACAGATATCCCCCAAATGTCAGGACAGTACAGATATCCCCCCAAATGTCAGGACAGTACAGATATCCCCCAAATGTCAGGACAGTACAGATATCCCCCAAATGTCAGAACAGTACAGATATCCCCCAAATGTCAGGACAGTACAGATATCCCCCCAAATGTCAGGACAATACAGATATCCCCCAAATGTCAGGACAGTACAGATATCCCCCAAATGTCAGGACAGTACAGATATCCCCCAAATGTCAGAACGGTACAGATATACCCAGATGTCAGAACGGTACAGATATCCCCCAAATGTCAGGACAGTACAGATATCCCCCAAATGTCAGGACATTACAGATATCCCCCAAGTGACCCCTTTTTGCTAAGTAGACAGTCCGACGTATTTCATAAGAGGCATGGCGAGTTTTTGAAGTTGTCATTTTTTTGGATATACTTACCTGAGCCTCATCGCGATCCAGTAATGTGAATGTGAGCCTCAGCTGTCCCGGGTCTCTGCCTCCTCATTGGCTGAGACAGCAAGCGGGAGCCATTGGCTCCTGCTGCTGTCAATCACAGCCAGTCAGCCAATGAGAGAGAGAGGGGGCAGAGCCAAGCCGCAGCTGCGTGTATGAATGGAGCAGTAGGTGACCCCAAAGCAAGCTGCTTGTTATGAGGGCACCCAACAGAAAGGAGGAGCCAGGAGAACCTGCGGGGGACCTGAGACGAGGAGGATCCAGGCTGTTCTGTGCAAAACCACTGCGCACAGCAGGTAAGTATAGACATGTTCGATATTTAACCCCTTGGTGCTGAGCGTATGCAAATTAGCAGCCTCACTGGACTGGGCTTTTTTCTGTGGGGCCACTAATTTGCATACCTGTCTTTGTGCTAGAAGCACACTGCCCTCCAAGTACAAAGACCGGGGTGTCAGAGAGAGCCCCGGGTCCCATTCTAACAATCGGGACCCAGAACTCCTGATTCCAAGTCAAATGATCGCTGTGAAAGCCTCTGCCTGCCCCCCCCCCCCCTCCCTTTTATCTGTCTGAATGGAGGAGAGAGACACATTATATCTCTTTGTCCTTTCAGAGAGAAAAAAAAAAGTGTTTGTAAATAAATAAAATAATAATAAAAAAAAACTAAATCAAATAAAAATACCTTGATTGAGGTTTGACTTAGGTCTGTGCCAGGATTAGTGCTGGGGTCATGGGTCAAGGTCAGGGTCAGGATTTGTTTTTTGTTTTTTTTAATTAGTATCAGTGTCAGTTAGTGGCAGGATAAAAAAAAAAAAAAAAGCAAAATGCGCGCTATTGTTTCTGGGCCGTACTACAGGTACAAACAACAACTAACAGACACGTGGTATCGCTGCGATCATCAGGATAAATTATTTTGGGTTGTTATTTGGTGGTTGGTTATGGAAGTAGCAAGAAATATACAACAAAATGTAAAAAAAAAATTGTTTTGTTTTATTACTATTTTGGGCCAGTTTTCCTTTGATAACAACAAAAAATCAGGAGATATCCATTACCATTTACCACCAAATGAAAGCCCAATTTGTCCTAAAAAAAAAACCCAAAGTATCATCCACCTGGATGCACAAAGTAGTTTTGCTAACACATGTCAAAGTTGCAAAATTGTGCTTTGACTTTAAAATTTGTTTTACCCTTCGGCATGAAGGGGTTAAAAAAAAAAAAGAACCATTTTTACAACTGAAAAACTCCTCTTCAGACGCAGTAGTTCTGGCACATCAAGCGCTTGGGTGTTAATTCATTTCATTGGTCAGAATGGTCATTTATTCTGACCATTGAAATGAATGAACGCTAAAACACTAAACGCACATTTTCTACCAAAATGCTGCTGGTCCCGGATGTGCCCGCAGTGGCGTTTTTTTTTCTGTCTCTAAACTCCTCTAAATCCCTATGTGTGCACAGCCACATAGGGCTAACATGGAGGGGCATTTAGAGGCAGGAAAAAAACAAACAAACACCAGACACCCCTAACAGCAGCATGAAACCCATCCAGTGTGCTTAAGGCCTTGCTCTCTTTGGCCCTCCCCTATCATTTAGTGGATTTCAGCTCTTTCAATCACGAAGGCTCAACCTCACATGTAGAAATTGACAGTACCTAGGGTAGACTGCTGTTTTCAGGCAGCTATATATAGCCCTCCCACCAGCCATGATCTGCTTGCATTGCATAGAGAAACACAGAGACCCAGTGATGAGAGTCTAAAATGAGGTTTGTAATGAAAAAAAAAATTAACATTTTCATTAGCATGCTGATGAATAGGGAGGAGTCAAACCAGGGAAGACAAATGTAAGCAGATTAAACTTCATCTTTTATCCTCGCTACTGCTAAATGTTTGAAATCCCACCTTGGTTCTGTGACCCTCCCTCTAGTGGCGACGAGCAGAACTACACCGCATCTGATCAGGTCCAAGATTCAGAGACAAGAATCCCTAAAATGTAACGACACATTAATAAAAATGCTTTGAGTAAAGGTCTAGGCCTAAATGTCTGTGTGCGGGAAAAGACTTTACAATCAGCTGGAGCTTTATTTGCATTGGACGGAAGCCTGGTTCATTCTGAGTCTGTCTCTGGGAATTTCTGCCAGTGCGTTACCTGTGCTCCTCTGTAGCGGTGAAGTGGTTAACGGGAATGAAATGACTGTACATGCTGAGAACACAGAGCCCGTCTGTACAGTCTGATGGCCATTAGCCAGTGTTTACAAGCCCCTGGGTGGGAAGGCAGGGTGAAAAGCTCTGTACCCCAGCCTTCAGGAACCCTTTGTTGTTGTCACCATGACCTCCAGTCTCTGCTTTATTTATTTATTTATTGCAGTCTCCTGCCTGTTAACTGCTGCTTATCCCCCCCATCAACCAGGAAAGGCAATCTGTTCCATGGAGTTCCACTCATTTAAAGGACCGATATCCCAACACTGCACATTGGCTTTAATGAAAATAGCTCTGAATGGCATTCACCAGTAACAGGAAATGTGGCAGCCTTGCTGAATATAAAATGTACCTTTACTCCACTGGTCTCCAAACTGTGGCCCTTTGCTTGCCTTTATCCAGCCCTTGGGGCAATATTTCATCCACTGACACCATCTATGGGGCATCATTCCTTCCAATGACATCATCGATGGGGCATCATTCCTGCCAATGACACCAATGATGGGGCATCATTCCTGCCAATGACACCAATGATGGGGCATCATTCCTGCCAATGACACCAATGAGGGGGCATCATTCCTGCCAATGACACCAATGAGGGGGCATCATTCCTGCCAATGACACCAACGATGGGGCACAATTCCTCCCAGTGACACCAATGATGGGGCACTATTCCTCCTAATGACACCAATGATGGGGCACTATTCCTCCTAATGACACCAATGATGGGGCACTATTCCTCCCAATGACACCAACGATTGGGCACGTTTTCTCCCAATGACACCAATGATGGGGCACTATGCCTCCTAATGACACCAAAGGTGGGGCACTATCCCTTCCAATGACACCAATGATGGGGCACAATTCCTCCCAATGACACCAACGATTGGGCACGTTTTCTCCCAATGACCCCAATGATGGGGCACTATTCCTCCCAATGACACCAACGATTGGGCACGTTTTCTCCCAATGACACCAATGATTGGGCATGAATCCTCCCAATGACTCCAATGATGGGGCACAATTCCTCCCAATGACACAACGATGGGGCACGATACCTCCCAATGACACAACGATGGGGCACGATACCTCCCAATGACACAACGATGGGGCACGATTCCTCCCAATGACACCAACAATTGGGCACGATTCCTCCCAATGTCACTGACGATCGGGCACAATTCTTCCCAATGACTCCAATGATGGGGCACAATTCCTCCCAATGACACCAATGATGGGGCATGATTCCTCCCAAAGACAACAAAGATTGGGCCATGTTTCCTCCCAATAACACAACGATGGGGCACAATACCTCCCAATGACACAACGATGGGGCACGATTGCTCCCAAATACACCAATGATGGGACACAATTCCTCCCAATGACACCAACGATTGGGCATGATTCCTCCCAATGACACAAACAATTCAGCAAGTTTTCTTCCAAAGGCACCATTCACTGGGCACGTTTCCTCCCAATGACACAATGATGGGGCATGATTCCTCCCAATGACACAACAATGGGGCACGATTCCTCCCAATGACACCAACGATTGGGCACAATTCTTCCCAATGACACCAACAATTCAGCAAGTTTTCTTTCAAAGGCACCATTCACAGGACACGTTTCCTCCTAATGACACAACAATGGGTAACGATTCCTCCCCCAATGACACTAACGATTGGGCACGATTCTTCCCAATGACACCAACGGTTGGGCACAATTCCTCCCACTGACACCAATGATTGGTAAGATTTCTCCCAATGACAACGATTGGGGCACGTTTCCTCCCAATAACACAACAATGGGGCACGTTTCCTGCCAATGACACCACCGATGGGGCATGATTCCTCCCAATGACACATTGTAATGAAACTTGTTTAATATGTCTGGGATTTCATTCGTATTGCAGGTATGGATACATTTTTAACAGCTTGAGAGTGAAATTAGCTGTCTTCATGGTGTTGATTTACTAAAGGCAAATAGACTGTGCACTTTGCAAATGCAGTTGCTCCAGAGCTTAGTAAATGAGGGGAAGCTCTGCTGACTTCCATCATCCAATCATGTGCAAGCAAAATGCTCTTTTTCTTTATGTTCCTTGTATGTGATTGGTTATACTTTGTAAAGCGAAACTTCACCTCATTTACTAAGCTTTGGAGCAACTGTACTTGCAGAGTGCAACTGCCGTTTTAAAGTGCGCAGTCTGTTTGCCTTTAGTAAATCCACCCTCTTGATGGTAAGAAAGAATGTTCTGATGAACGACTTTTTAGAATTTCCATACAATTATTCAAATTAAAATCTAGCCATGTATAGCCAGCTTAACCACTTCCAGTCCAGACACTTTTACCCCCTTCCAGTCCAGGCCAATTTTCAGCTTTCAGTATTATCATACTTTGAATGACAATTGCGTGGTCATGCAACACTGTACCCATATGAATTTTTTAGCATTTTTTTTAGAGAGATAAAGCTTTATTTTGGTGGTATTTATTCACCACTGGGACTTTTACTTTTTTTGCTATATAAATGAAAAGGTCCCAACATTTTGAAAAAAGTGTTTTTCTTATAAAAAATAAATAATATTTTATCATAAATCTTGGCCAAAATGTATTCAGCTATCTTTTTAGTAAAAAAAAAAATCCAAATTAGTTTATAACCAAAAATTATAAATTAAAATTTTTTTATTTTTTTACATTTTAATTTTACTTTTTTATATTATTTATGGGTTTTTTTTCTACATACTGTCACCCTAGCAGTACAGTGTCACCATGGCCTCAGCCAGCCAGCTCACTCCACGAACCACGAAAAGAAATGGAGCAGACAAAAAATGGATGAAAACGGATGTAAACAGACGAAAAAAAGGATGTAAATGGATGAAAAAACTGATGTAAAATGAATGTAAACTGATTAAAGAAACAAACGTAAACTTATGAAAAACGGATGTAAGCTGATGAAAGAAACGGATGGAAGTTGATGAAAAACGGATGTAAGCTGATGAAAGAAACAAATGTAAACTGATGAAAAACTGATGTAAACTGATGAAAGAAATGGAAGTAAGCTGATGAAAGAAACGGATGTAAACTGATGAAAGAAACGGATGTAAACTGATGGAAAATGGATGTAAGCTGATGAAAGAAACGGATGTAAACTGATGAAAGAAACGGATGTAAACTGATGAAAAACTGATGTAAACTAATGAAAGAAATGTATATAAACTGATGAAAAACGGATGTAAACTGATGAAAAATGGATGTAAAAACTGATGAAAGAAACGGATGTAAACTGATGAAAAATGGATGTAAACTAATGAAAAACGGATGTAAACTGATGAAAGAAATGGATAGAAACTGATGAAAGAAACAGATGTAAGCTGATGAAAAATGGATGTAAACTGATGAAAGAAACGTATGTAAACTGATGAAAAATGGATGTAAACTGATGAAAGAAATGGATATAAACTGATGAAAAAACGGATGTAAACTGATCCGTTTTTTTCTTGAGAAAAACGTGACTGAACTGATGAAAAAAACGGCACGCCCGTGTGAAAGGGGTCCAATAGACAGAAGAGTTCCAACACTGGGATTGCCCAGTTGATAACCAGACTAGTGGCAAACCTACGGAATACACGAGGTGAGAAGTGGACTATTTCATGCGCCGTGCTTCGTTAAAGCTGCAAAAGTAGAGCCAAAATATGCACAGCCATGTGGAATGCTACAGGGGCCTCTCTTTCCGAACAAAGCAAGCTCAGTTTGGCTCTTTTTCTGTTGCGCTACCACATCCGTACATCGTTAGTTGGAAAATTCCAGATACATGTCGTAATTTTTTGTGTTTTTTTTTTTTTTTCTTCCCAGTGCTTTTAAAGCATCAGTGTCCAGATGCCATATCCCCCCCCCACCCCCTCTCCTTATCTGTCGCTGTACATTTGGCCAGCGGCCAGCTCTGGTCCACTATTAATACAGAAAAATACCGTACGTTTCCTGCAGCTGACGGAGGAAATTTCTCATTAGGGATAAAATATAACAAAAATAACAAACAAAACTTCCATTAAAAAAAAAAAAAATAATAATATCATTCAGCACATGGGCTGAGTAACGCTTTCTGTTGTAATTTGGCCGGGGACTGGAAAAGTGTGGCCGCGGTTTACGTCTTCCCAAGCTCCGTCATGCATAATCAATTGTTGCCGTCCGCAGTACTGCGAGATGAAGAGGCCGAACCGAGGCCAATATTCTGTGACATGACACTTTAGGTAACGGCTTTATTCTGCTAAGGCCTATGGCTATCCATAGACTGGTATACAGTACTTCTCCAAGAGACAATGAGCCGGAACACATCGGCCACCTCATCTTCCCACGTGACTCGCCAGGTGGATGGCAGCTAGTGTTGATGTGGCTTTCTTGCGTAGGGTGGACACCTCATCCCTTTAACACTGAACAAATATTAATGACACAGGTCCCTGGGGCTGATTGAGGTGGTCATTACCACTTGCCGACCGCAGATAGACAAATGACAGCTACACTGCGGCCGGCCAGTTCTGGAAGGACGTCATATGACATCCTCTGAGAACGCGCTCTCCCGCGCCCACCCGGTGATCTCCGTGATCGATGTGTCCTACAGACACAGCTGATCACGTGATGTGGTAAAAGGCAAATCACAGCGGCCTTTTACCACGTGATCAGCCGTGTCCAATGACACAGCAGATCACCGGAAAATGCAGTTGCCAGTTATCGGCTGCACTTTCCTCACGCTGAGGAAAGTACTGCCGATAACCGGCAGTTGTCAGAGGACGGATCGGCACCAATCATCAGGGCACTGATGATCAGTGTCCAGCAGTGTCACCCACCAGTGCCGCTCATCTGTGCCACCCATCTGTGCCCAGCAGTGCCACCCACCTGTGCCGCCCATCTGTGCCACCTGTCAGTGCCACCCATCTGTGCCCAGCAGTGCCACCCGTCACTGCTGCCCATCTGTGCCCAGCAGTGCCACCCATCAGTGCCACCCACCTGTGCCCAGCAGTGCCACCCGTCAGTGCCGCCCATCTGTGCCCAGCAGTGCCACCCGTCAGTGCTGCCCATCTGTGCCCAGCAGTGTCACCCACCAGTGCCGTCCATCTGTGCCACCCGTCAGTGCCACCCATCTGTGCTCAGCAGTGCCACCTGTCAGTGCCGCCCATCTGTGCCCAGCAGTGCCACCCGTCACTGCTGCCCATCTGTGCCCAGCAGTGCCACCCATCAGTGCCGTCCACCTGTGCCCAGCAGTGCCACACGTCAGTGCCGCCCATCTGTGCCCAGCAGTGCCACCCGTCAGTGCGGCCCATCTTTGCCCAGCAGTGCCACCCACCTGTGCCCATCAGTGCCACCCACCTGTGCCCATCAGTGCCACCTATCAATGCCCATCAATGTTGCATAATAGTGCCAGCTCATTAGTGCCGACTAACAGTGCCGCCTATCAGTGCCCATCAGTGCCCATCATTGTTGAATATCAGTGCCAGCTCATCAGTGCCGCCTATCAGTACCACCTCATCAGTGTGAACATATGATAAAAGTTTCATATGGGTGCAATGTTGCATGCCCGCGCAATTGTCATTCCTGCATTCCTGTGCAAATCACATGTGATTTGTGTGCGGTGCGATTGGAGCCGTACATACAGGACCCTTTTTTGGGTCCGCACTAGAATCGTATAACATGGGTATTCACACCTATGCGATCCGATTCTGGACATCGCACCGCATTTTGCGAACCGATTTTGGGGTGTTGGTAACTTAACATAAAGTAAAAAATCCCCCTGCGCTCCACAGATACAAAATGAACAATACCAGTGCCAGCTGCTATCACCTCTTCCCTACACCACAGAAAAAATCATAACATACAATAATGGTGAAGCGCTATGCTTAACATAATTATAAAGTGCAATACATGATAAATAAATACAAATAATATTGAATATAAAATGATAATAAACTATAGTAATGTGTGCAATCCTATAAATATTGTGCCACAAAAATACCAGATTAGATTCCCATACTCAAATATCATAAATATATACAATAATAAACATGATATACACGAGTGCAATATAAATAAATGTAAAAGTAAATGATAGTAAATGAATTTCCACAGTGATAGAGTGTTAAAGACACACTTGTGATAATGTGCAAACACTAATTAATTATATCTGATATGCCAATCAAACAGCTAACCAGACCAATTGATAATCCAGTGATGTGTCACTCAATCTATACACACAAAGTGACAAGTGCTCAAAATGTAAAAAAATGTATAAAAATATATTCAAAATTCAGTCCACAATAAAGTGCAAGCCAACAAGTGCAAACAATAATAAAAGTGCAAGTATGCAAATAAAGTGCTTCACTTCTCCGCTCCACGCTTAATATGTGTTCAGATTACACTCTATAGCAGTGATGGCGAACCTTTTTGAGCCCGAGTGCCCAAACTGCAACCCAAAACCAACTTATTTCTTTCAAAGTGCCAACACTGCAATGAAACCTGAATATCGAGCTTTTGGTTTAGAAAAAACAACTCGTACAGTAGTGCAAACTAATTAACAGTACAGGGATGACCAGAGACTGCGGACAGTACAGGGATGACCAGAGACTGCGGACACAGTACAGGGATGACCAGAGACTGCGGACACGGTACAGGGATGACCAGAGACTGCGGACACAGTACAGGGATGACCAGAGACTGCGGACAGTACAGGGATGACCAGAGACTGCGGACACAGTACAGGGATGACCAGAGACTGCAGGACACAGTACAGGAGATGACCAGAGACTGCGGACACAGTACAGGGATGACCAGAGACTGCAGACATAGTACAGGAGATGACCAGAGACTGCGGACACAGTACAGGAGATGACCAGAGACTGCGGACACAGTACAGGAGATGACCAGAGACTGCGGACAGTACAGGGATGACCAGAGACTGCGGACACAGTACAGGGATGACCAGAGACTGCGGACACAGTACAGGGATGACCAGAGACTGCGGACACAGTACAGGAGATGACCAGAGACTGCGGACACAGTACAGGAGATGACCAGAGACTGCGGACATAGTACAGGGATGACCAGAGACTGCGGACACAGTACAGGGATGACCAGAGACTGCGGACATAGTACAGGAGATGACCAGAGACTGCGGACAGAGTACAGGAGATGACCAGAGACTGCGGACATAGTACAGGAGATGACCAGAGACTGCGGACACGGTACAGGGATGACCAGAGACTGCAGACACAGTACAGGGATGACCAGAGACTGCAGACACAGTACAGGGATGACCAGAGACTGCGGACACAGTACAGGGATGACCAGAGACTGCGGACACAGTACAGGGATGACCAGAGACTGCAGACACAGTACAGGGATGACCAGAGACTGCAGACACAGTACAGGAGATGACCAGAGACTGCGGACACAGTACAGGAGATGACCAGAGACTGCAGACACAGTACAGGAGATGACCAGAGACTGCGGACACAGTACAGGAGATGACCAGAGACTGCGGACACAGTACAGGGATGACCAGAGACTGCGGACAGTACAGGGATGACCAGAGACTGCGGACAGTACAGGAGATGACCAGAGACTGCGGACAGCACAGGGATGACCAGAGACTGCGGACAGTACAGATGACTGCTGACCTTTGGGGAGGGAGGGGGAGCGGGTACCTGAATTTGACAGATACCCGCTCTTACTTCCGCAGAGTTTTTTTTTTATCTTACCTGTTCCTTTATCCAGCCGCGCGCTGTCTTCCCGGCTTCTGTAATGGCGCTCGTCGGACAGCCGGATGCCCAGTGCGCATGTGCGAGAAGCGCTGCGCTTTGTGATTGGTCCGGCGGCTTCTGGGATCTGTCATGTGTTCCAGGTACCGCCTTACCATTCACAAAGAGCACTGCTTCTTGCGCATGCGCACTTGGGACCCGGCTGTCACGCACACTACAGAAGCCGGGAAGACAGCGCGCCGCTGAATAGAGGGACAGGTACGGTCCCACTGCAGAGCTGAGCGGCCGGCCCGGTATTCTGACACGGCGGCGGTGGAAATACCGGACCGGCCGCTCTATATTCGCTCCATAACGCGCTGACATTTTCCCCCCTTTTTTGGGGGAAAAAAAGTGCGTCTTATGGAGCGAAAAATACGGTATTCTCCTGGCGTGCCCACAGATAAGGCTCGGCGTGGGTTCGCCATCACTGCTCTAGAGTATCTATCCTTACGTGGCTAGAGTGCCCCCTCACCTCCTTAACTCGACCCCTAGGGGCCACAGCTCATTTCGGTTATTGGAAGTTATACACCTGGAGAGAGATCTCTACCACCTGACTCCACATAGACTCCACTGACAGAACTGGTACTCCTCTATATATATGATCAGCATAGTAGGACTCAAACATATGCGATGAATACCAAGACCATAAAGGGGTATACAAAGAAGACCTCCATAGTGTAATGCTGTGTATTCCAAATATCAAAAAAACGCCAAACTGAACACTCACATTTTTCCAGGTACAGACCAGCAGTTTCCCATGTGCTAGGTGTGTACTTGAGAGACAATGGGTGTATGAAGATGGCGTGAACCGGAACCGGAAATACGTCACCGTGCTCCGACCGGAAATGCGTCACCGTGCTCCGACCGTGCTCACGTGCTCCGACCGGAAATGCGTCACCGTGCTCCGACCGGAAATGCGTCACCATGCTCCGACCGGAAATGCGTCACCGTGCTCCGACCGGAAATGCGTCACCGTGCCGGAAATACGTCACGCGTTCCGACCGGAAATGCGTCACCGCGCTCCAACCGGAAATATGTTCAATGCTACGTCACCGTGCTCCGACCGGAAATGCTTCACCGTGCTCTGACCGACCGGAAAATACGTCACCGCTTCACCGTGCTCCGACCGGAAATGCTTCACCGCGCTCCGACCGGAAATGCTTCACCGACCGGAAATGCTTCACCGTGCTCCGACCGGAAATGCGTCACCGTGCTCCGACCGGAAATGCGTCACCGTGCTCCGACCGGAAATGCGTCACCGTGCTCTGACCGGAATTGCGTCACCGTGCTCCAACCGAAATGTGTCACCGTGCTCCAACCGGAATTGCGTCACCGCGCTCCGACCGTCACCGTGCTCCAACCGGAAATGCTTCACCGTGCTCCACCGGAAATGCGTCACCGTGCTCCACTGGAAATGCGTCACCGTGCTCCGACCGGAAATGCGTCACCGTGCTCCAACCGGAAATGCGTCACCGTGCTCCAACCGGAAATACGTCACCGTGCTCCAACCGGAAATGCGTCACCGTGCTCCAACCGAAATGTGTCACCGTGCTCCAACCGGAAATGTGTCACCGTTACTCCACGACTTCGGGAAATTAACACATCTGCAGCGGTTCGCATGAATGGGGTGCGATCATGATGCGGTGCAGAAATCGCACTGAAAACGCTGCAAATTGTGCACCGCATCAGTGTGAACCCGGGCTCACACTGATGCACCGCAAAAACGCAGCAAAACCACATATGCATTTTTGCAGCATTGTTGCTGCACTTTGAGCGTTTTTTTAAAGGATGTGACTTAACAACTGCACCAAAAACTATTCTCGGAGGCGTATTTGAGGCACTTTTCAGGCGTCTTCCATTGATTTCAATGGGAAGAGGCATTTTTTTAACGAACAAATATGCTCCAAAGGATGCTGCAAGCAGAAGTTTTTTTACACCACAACGGAAGCGCAACGCCCCAGTGTCAAAACATACCTAGAAATACAAAGGGAAGCATTTTTCTTGAGCTTTGCAGGCGCTTTTTTTTTAACGCAAAAGCACTTAAAAAACTCCTCAGTGTAAAAGTAGGCTTACCCTAGTATCACACCTATGCAGGTTGCGTTTGAGGCGTTTCTGCATTGCGTCTTTGCCATGTTTTTGATGAGTTTCTTATCATATTTTTTTTTTTTTCTTGTTGCTAGGCAGATTTAAAACACACCAAAAACACACCAAAAACACAATACATGGCCTTCTGCAGCGTCTCCATTGAAGTCTATAGAATCAAAAATGCAACTTTTTGCATTCCAAAAAGTCCCTGACTCTTTCCAAAAAATGCACCGGGTGAAAACATGGAGATGTGAACCTGTCCCGTAGGAAATCATGTTAAATGGACTGTACTGCGTTTCTGTAAAACGCTGCAGAAAAACGCTTAGATGTGAACCTAGACTTAAAATCCAGCTCACACCACAATTTCTGCATTCCGGATGTGTTTCTGATGTGTTCCGCTGCATTTTTTCTTTTGGCTTTTTTTCCCCCTTCATCTCAGTCACAAACATGTGCGTTCCATTGCATTTTTGTATGCCTTCTGGTGCGTTTCTGATGTGTTCCGATGCATTTTTTTCTTTTGCCTTCTCTTTCTGCATCACAATTAGGGCCTGTTCACGGCACAATTTTTGTGTTTCGGATGTGTTTCTGCATGTGCATTTTTGATTTGCGTTTTCCCCTCTTTTTCTTCTTCATCTAAATTAAAGACAACTGAGGACACATGTGCATACCGGTGCATTTTTGGTGCGTTCCAGTGCATTTTTCCTATTTTTTTTCGACTTCTTGAAGAAAATTGAGGACATTTGTGTTCCAGTGCATTTGTGATACGTTTTGCCGCATTCCATACAGAAAAAAATGCAACGTCTTTCGTTGACTGTACTGGAATGCCCTGCACTGTCCATGCGTTTTTGATGCAGAATAAAACGCAGTTGACTGCAACTGGTGTGAACCAGCCCTAAAAGACATTTTTTTTTTATGCCGAGTAATTTTTTTCTTTTTCTTTTTTTTCTTCATCTCATCTTTGGGTTGGTTCACACTTGATGCAGTCCAATGCGTTTTTATTCTGCATCAGAAATGCACGGACAAAGTTTAATATGGATTCCAATGGCCCCAGTTCACACCAGTATATTGCATTCTGGTGCAGTCTACAAAAATAGAGCATGCTGCATTTTTCCTGTATGGAACCACATGAAAAATGCACTGGAATGCAAATGTTCTCAATTTTCTTCAAGAAGAGAAACAAAAGAAAAAGAAACAAAAAAGAGGAAAAATGCACTGAAACGCATCAAAAATGCACCAGAATTTATCAAAAAGGCATCAAAAACGTGCATTCACAAATGCATTCGGAACACAGAACTTGTGGTGTGAACTGGCCCTAAGGACATGTGTGATCAGTGCGTTTTTGATGCGTTCCAGATGCATTCTATACAGAAAAAATGCAGCTCGTTCTTCTTTTGCATTGGAATGCACTGCACTGGTGTGAACTAGGGCCATTGGAATCCACATTAAACACTGTCCATGCGTCTTTGATGCTGAATAAAATCGCAGTGGACAGCATCTGGTGGGAACCGGCCCCGAAAGACGATGAAATGGGGGAAAATGAACACCATCAGGACCAGAATGTGCAGCAAAAATTGAAGAAAGTGGAAGAAGTGTAGCCGGATCTCTGCGTCGTTTTGTTCCACGCACATAGCAACAGCACAATCCCGGCTGTATTGCAGGCGACCTGGAAAAGCAAACACACACAGAGACCCATGTGGGGCTGAAAGGCGAGTCTTGTACAACATGTGAAGTGTGAAAACTTGCAGAAACTACGTCATGAAATAAAACCACCAAACCACAACTTATCGCGAACATGAAATTCTAAGAAGTCGTCTAAAAATGGTGCAGGGACAGCAGCCTTAAAGGGCCAGTACACAAAAAAACCCTAGAAAATAAAAATCCTATATAAAGCCAAACGCCGGCCTCTTCTCCTGTACTGAACATGCCTACTCTGATTTCACTGCACACTGTGAGCTTTCCATATAGAAGCTGCTGCAAGTCAGATATAGAGCCCACCTCGTTTCCTGGTTGAAGGACATCCAACATCATCTAGCCCACATGTGTCAAACACAAGGCCTGTTGGCTGAATCCAGCCAATCAGGCCATTTCATGTGGCCCTTGCACCTCTCCTGCAGCATCCCACCCCACCCCCATCTCCTCCTCCACCTTGTCTCAGCAGTTGGCAGCAGAGAGGAGGACAGAGCTCCTCCTCCAGCTTCTGCACTTCTCTGTCAGTTGCAGAGAGGCTCGTCTTTGCCCCCCTAAGTCACCGGTCATACTGCTGCGATTTAAAAAATCATGCGGTTTGTGTGCAATTTCAGGTGCGATTTCTGAAGCTACTTGTGAAGATTTTCACAGTGGCTAAATGGTTAGAATGTCTGCCTGGCAGCACTAGAATGGTTCGCTCAAATCTCAACCACGGCACCACCTGCCTGGAGTTTGCATGTTCTCCCTGTGCCTGCATGGGTTTCCCCCAGATACTCCAGTTTCCTCCCACACTCCAACGACATGCTAGTAGGTTAATTGGCTCCTGTCTAAATTGGCCCTAGTATGTGTATGGATGAATGTGAGTTAGGGGACCTTAGACTGTATGCTCCCCAGGGGCGGGGACTGATGTGAATGTACAATATATATGTAAAGCGTGGTGTAAATTGATGACACTATATAAGTACCTGTAATAAATGCCTGGTGCCAACAGCGAATGGGCTGACAAAAGCCCAGGCGCCAGGAACAGAAT